AGGCAGGGCATAGGGTGGGGATTTGACTTTTTTCAAAAATTTGCAATCAAATTCCCTGCCCACGGGCAAATCATTCCAGTCAAATGCAACCAAATTTCCCTACCCCAGGCTGCACATTGCTGTCAATCCCAAGGCAGAACCTAAGAAAGGCACAATAAAAATATCTCCAAATAAAACTCTGCAATCTTTTATAAACGTTGCTGCATCACCAACGATACATGTTCCTGTTATAGCTGCAATTATACGTTCTAACCATAATCCGTGTTACACTGCGTAGAATACATAAACCTTTCGGAGAAAGTCCACATTTTGTAAGTCCAAATATACCGTTCTTAGTAAAGGGTACAAAGAGGGTCTGAATGGGGGGTCCACTTGTCGGTTGTCGGTTAAAATTCAGTTACTTTGTCGGTAGTCGGTTAAAATTTTCGATCTTTGTCGGTAGTCGGTTAAACTATTTGATTATTTGTCGGTTGTCGGAAAATCTCAGTTAATAAGTAAAAACGCTTGTTAATTATTAATATGTTTATGTATTTCACCCAGTGTCAAGACTTTGATCCCTCAGGAAAGAGTAAAACTTGTAAGAATGCATCATTTGATTGAACTTCATTAACTCTTGTTTGTTTATGCAACATGATAAATTTTTTTTTCATCATTGTTTGCCAAATGATTATCATGAGTACTGATAAAATCACCAAACCTTTTATTGCATTGTAAATGCGAACTTGGTTTCCCTGTCGCACAGTAAAAAGCAATTAATTAATTAATGGACTCCAGTCTTTTGGATACTGGCTTAAATTATTCTTAGTGAAAAACTGCAAAGGGTGACAGGCTGCACATCTACACCTTTAATGTTTTGGCTCTAACAAGCATGTCCTTTGCCATAATTTTCCTTTCTCCAAGAAATAACACTTTAACCCTCGGACGTACAAGGGGTGGGGGGTGGATACCACCCCCCCCCCCTTTTAGGTTTTTCTGGGATTTTTCCAAGAGGATAAAACATCAGCACCTGACGTTTTCAGTAGATGTTCCTTTATCCCTCGCACGCATTTTGAGACAAGTTCAGTGATGATCAATTTCTATGGTTACGAGGTATGATGTAATAAGTAGCAGGTGGTCAAGTCATTTTGAGTGAAAATGTATGTCTCTTTTTCAACTTTTTTCAACAATAAAAGAAAACTCTTGCAGCTAAAATCATGCAAAGTGCTTATTTATTTGTTGTTATTCATGTCAAGCAATTACCATTTCTCGCTGTTTTAACCTGATTTCTAATTCTTGGTAAAATCCAAGATGGCGGCAAAGATGGCGACCATTGTTGGTGACGTAACAGGCCTCCAGCAGCGCCACCATTCATAAAATATACCTCATCTTGTTAAGAAGATCAAAGGTTTTTCAGTGAAGGCAAACTCAAAAACTCTGGGGAGGGGTTCCATCTACCCTCCTCTTGTACCATGGTGGGGGGGTATGATTTTGTGTGTACGTCCGAGGGTTAAGTTGGCAAGGTAGTGTTTGGATTTGTATGAGATTACACTTTTTCGTTAAAGCTTCTTTCATAATAGACACTGAAGGGCTTGTATTGTGTCACGAAAGACAATATGTCTTTTTCTTCCTTGTTGTTTTGTTTCAGGAGCGCTGCTTTCCTTCTGTGAGTTTCACTTCTAATAGCAAATTTTATTTTAAAATTGTGTGGCCAGCCTCCGTCCATCAACCGCTTTTTGAAATCTGAAATACTTCCTCAGAGGAGTATGTTCGTAGGATTTTCAAGGCTTCCTGTTTGTCAAATCCATTTTAACAATTGGTGGGTGGTAAGAGGTGAAAATGTATATACTGGAAGGTTTCCGTTTAAAATGCGTCTTTAAGTCAATGATAGCTTTTTCTCATTTTTCGTTGAATGTTGTGTCTTGGTATACAACCTGGTCTAAAAAGATTGTCTCAGTGTCAGATATTTCGGCCGTAAATTTTATTGCCAGTAGAGAGGTAGGTTGAAGTAAGTTTACTTGATCCGTGAATTTGAAGAAATCTACCATGTCTGGTTTACTTATGTCCCATAGGGAAAAAGTATCATCTATGTAGCTTTTTCAAACAGTTGGTTTAAAGACGGTTTTGCTTAACTCTGTGTTTCAATGTATGCGGCCATGAAAATGTTGGAAAGGAAACTGCTGTATGTGCTCATCGCGGTACCGTGGTTTTTTACTATATAGTGCTTTTCATTAAGCTGGAAAGAATTTTCTTTAAGGATTATTCTAAGCATTTCTCGGACCGAAGCAAAAAATGCTCATTTTTTTCACCTTTGTCTTTTCAATAAAATTTATAAAGTCGGTAGCATCTTTAAGGAGTGGCTTCTGTGATTATGATATTAGTTGTAGTAATGTACTCGTATCAACAAAAGAGGAAGTTCTTTCTGTTAGACCATCTAATGAGTCATAAATTTAAAGAGGTTACTTCCTAACGGCTAGGACAAAAAATGCAAAATGCCCTTTTTTCTGAAAACAAATATTGATAATGTCAGCCTAAGTCGGTAGTCGGTTAATATTTTTCCTGTCGGTAGTCGGTAATTTTTTGCTCTTTTTGTCGGTAGTTAGTAGTATTTTTCGCCCTTTGTCGCTAGTCGGTTAACCCCATTCACACCCTCTACAAAGAAAGTCAGTTTTATAAGTTTACAGTGATTGTAGCGAATGAGCCATACACTAATCAATTATACTTGCAAAAATCGACTTGGTTTCTCTTTACCTCCGTTTACTTTGATACCACAGTATATTAAGAGGTTCAATTGATCAAAAACACGCTAAAACAAACGAAATTTGAAGACAAAACAGTGAAATCCACTCAGCCTTCGCTTGTTTTCATTGGCCTCCATGACTTCCTGATCCTTTCAAACCGTATGGCGCATGCGCGAAGCGTGGAAGCGGGAAACATATGTTCGGTCTCAGTCTTTTTCGTCCGAGTCGGTAGTCAAATATCTCCACGTCAGGCGAAGAAAGATTCAAATATCCCTTCCCCCGAGAGAACAAGATCAGTCAAATGCCCTACCCCAGGGACAACAAAGACAATCAAATCCCCACCCCATGCCCTGCCTCCCCCCCGCCGGCATTACATTGATAGGTGCATTGTCTCGTAGATAATATAGCCATTTCTAAGCGATGTACTCAGACAATGCTAATTTGTCAAACAAACGTCATGTGACAAATTATGTGCCCATTTTATTTTCTTCTTCAGGTTTCATGGAGCGATCAGACCTCCATAATTACTGATAAACCTGAGATTCACGATGCTGCACTTACTCCGCATTCACACGACGCTCGCCTTTGCCTGTTTAATTGTAATGGTCTGTCTTTCTCTGGCTTTCATGTACACAATTAGAGACACGCGGTTGGAATCAATGTATTTTGCTCGTGACAGTAACGAAACAATACAATTACAGAAATATGGATATGAAAGAGCTGAAAGGCGAGCATTTGTAGAGTCAAATCCTTCTCGAAGGACCAACATTGTGATATTGTCTTTACCAAGATCAGGATCATCCTTCCTAGGTGACGTGTTCAATCATCATCCTCAAGTCTTGTATTTGTTTGAACCACTTCATTCACTTCAGCTCAATATTCAGGAAAGCTCAATCTTCCACTTTGATTTTACAAGAGAATCTTATAAAAGGTCGGCATTTAAATTTCTAGATGATGCGATGTCTTGCAAATTTGTCCACGGTGAATTTGCAAGTAACATATACGTAAATGATCGTTATAGAAGTTTTGCGTTGACTTCAACAGAATTTTGTTCTGGTAACGCAACATCACGTGTTTGCGAGGATGTGGATCCAGTTCGACTCGAGGCCCTTTGCAAGAATAATTACAGTGTCCTTTCACTGAAAATACTCACACCAAGGTTACCAGATGTCCAAGCTAAAGGGCAGCTTTTACCAGGCTGCAGTGATCCCTACAGTGAATGCAAAATAATCCATATAGTACGCGATCCAAGAGCAGTAATCGCGTCGTTGATGTTTTCGGTGCATTTTTTTTCCAGACCATGGGAAACCAGACATCAACTAAGTTGGTATGCGCAGAAAATCTGCCACCAGTTAGAGTCTGACGTTACATCGGGGAAGTTGAGGGTTAATTCGCAGGGTTCAAGATACAGGTTGATCCGGTTTGAAGATCTCGCCAAAAATCCCTTGTCACAAGTCAATGAACTTTTAAAATTCGCAGGAATTGAAATGACAGATGGCGTTCGAAAATGGTTGAACGAGGCAACCCATTCTAGTGACATATCGCAAACAAACGTTCAACAGGCTTATCTAACTAGTAGAGACTCCAAAAAAGTTGTTTCCGGGTGGAGGAGCAGAATGGAAAGTGCTACAGTGCAGATTATCGAAAGATACTGTGGAAGGGTCATGAGCCAGTTGGGATATAAGTTAATAGGATTATCCCCAGACAAACAACGAAATTTTGACATCTCTCTAATCGATCCCATTGCCTGATTCACTTTATTTAATACCATGAGTGACAAACTGGTTCTTACTTTTGGCGCGAAAACTCGTCGTGAATTTAAAGTTTCACATTCGGATTACAAATTTCCTACCGCAACGTCATTCGTGATGGTTTCATTGTTTTAAATTGTTATGAGTGAAGATGAAAGGGCATTAAAGACGCTTTAGAAAACCCACAACATATTAACAAGGATTCTAACAGGCATTCTGTCGAGAAAAAAATATATATATAGATTTGTGAATTTAAGCTAGCCAAAATTTATGCTATAAACGTTTTAGTGTGTGCAGTTCTTGATATCATGAACAAGTCAAAAACCTACTATTGTGAGCTCAATTTGCCATCCATGATATCAAAAGGTGATCAAATGGCATACATACTTGTAAAATTACCGAATAATTTCAATTGAATTTTGTCCCAATTCTGTTTTTTCCCCATAATTTCACACGTTTGCTTACTGGTGATAGAGGAACGTTTCTTTTTAATTTCGATCAAGTAAGCCTTAGAAATTATTAATTAAAGGTTTGATATATAAATCCACGCTCGAGAGTTCTAGTCATTTTTAATCTAAACACAATACTTTAAACTTTATAGAAGGACATCTGTGAACAGGGAATTTGTCAGCAGAGAATTTAATTGTCGGCGAATTTCTGTAACGTCCATCGTTCTGCTTGTGATAAGCTAGCCGTTGATCATGATTCACCCGTCTTGCATGTGTGTGGACTGAGTCAAAGAGAGAGAAATGATAAACTTGTGCCTGGCAAACTCTCCAAGTGTTTATTGCCTGTTGGGGGTAATGAGAAGAATAATACGATTGTCATATTTGTCTTCATCTTTATCCCCAAGTGATAAACGTCCCGTGCGATCTAAAAAGCTTGAATTAATTACCAAATACAAGGGTTTTCATTGCAGCTGAAAAATGGATGGTTGGAAGTACTGAAGTTGGTGGCCTTATTTCTATTGAAAACGGGAACCTGCGACGCTAAAAACTCTTGGGAGTTTTTCGTAGATGCTATCTTTTGCTTTGTTAAGATTTGTTTCCAAACGAGAGCGACAAAGATGGATAGACGTTTTTTAATATCACCGCGCACTCAGCATAAAGTTGGTCTTCTTGTAGTGCTAACTATGTTCGCCGTAGGTTTCCGATTACTCAGTTTCTTGCAATAAAGCTTTGGGTAGGAATATCCTTTCAGATAGAAGATACGGTCTGTCGGCACTCTTCCTCTATTTCTGCGTCAACTTTCACAAATGCGTTAGCGTAGCATTTTAAGGTTAAATTTGACCAGCATTATGAGCAGGGAGTTCTACGGTCACGATTGCCTTCAAACTTGCAGATGTAAAACTAGAGAGCTCTGAGGCTTGTTTGCTGAAGTTACAATCGGCGACAAAATTGCTGAGACATTGTACTTAAATAGGGTAGTTTCGGAGAACAAAGGAAACCGCACCCCTCCCCTGTCCCCTCCATTCAAAGTTGGGGTGTTTGTTGTTTTCTATAGGCAGCTAGAACAAGGGCACAACATTGCACGGAGGGGATGGGGGAGGAAAGCTCTATTTCCTCCTTTTGAAGTTAATAAAACGTAAAAAAGCCCAGTTTTGGGCGAAGTGTCTCAACTCATTTTGTCGCCGATTGTCTGAATCGAAATCTACGCGCTGTTGTCTTATTAGCACCGGTTAGGAGACGGTAACTAGCTGAGATTACTATATACACCGGGTCGTTTTTCAGAAAATAGATAAGATACCCATATAATCCCTTTCCTGTGTTTTTCGAGGGAAAATTAGTTTTGACAATCTTTGTACTTGGTAGTGTTTTCAAGTAATTACGCAGCATACCCACGTACGGAATGATTGATTTTCCTCTGGTAACCAAGTGTGATCGGTAGGAATCGATGGCAGCTCATATATTGTATCTGAATATATCCCTAGTAAGTTCGAAGTGTTTATTCGAAATTTGGCTATTTGATAAGGGTGGGATGGACGATAAAATAGCCATGATTGCTATGCGGAGGAGAATTTTCAGGAAAAATGTTCCAACTTCTAACGCACAGCAAAGCTGTATAGCATCGCTAAATCTGTGCAGCCGATTTGTTGCCCATATACCCATAAGGGTCTTTGAAGAATGTACTTTACAGTAGAAACTATGAGGTCAGGAGGGGACTGGCCACGAGTAACCACGAGTAACCAACTTTGTTCTTAAAAGATAATTAGATTTATTTTCTTTTATACTCATCGTGGTTACTCGTGGTTACTCGTGGAAATTCCTCCTAAAGAGCAATTTTAGCCATTATAACTACCTTAATGCCTAGAAATCTATTAAGTTTCCTATCCTTTTCACTTTGTTCTTTGTTTTGATGCGTTTCGATAAAGTAGAGAATAAGAAATCGTGAGCGACGCGCCTCATTGCACGATGTCAAGGCAGGGTTAAGCGTGACACGAAATGTCACGCACTGAAAATAACGAAATCGCCTTATTCTAATTGTTCTAAAATAGGTATGATGAAGTCCAACACAACAAATAAAAAGCCACCAGGGGTCTTACATCCCAGCATAAAGAAATGAATTCAATTACCTTTCTAAAGGACGTACGGCCACTTTTGAGATTCAGACACACAATGTGGGGAAAAATCTGTCGTGGATTTCGAAGTTATATACATTTTTCGTAAAAATACGGTTTCAAATATATGCCGATATCTCAAAAGTTTTTATTTCTCAAGAAAATAAATAACATTTTCAAAACCATTTAAATCGGTTGAATCTTTTATTCTAAAAAACGGAAATCGAAAACATAACACGCACGCATATAAATAGATAGGTTCGGGCCAATTTAAGGAAAATTAGCAAGGTTTTGACGGCAAAAGCAGAAATTTGCATGCTGCCGTAATTGTTATTGTTGTTGTTAACATTCCGCACTTCTTTTCAAAACAACTCTATCAATCGTGTTGAACTGGTAAGAATTTACTATGTCCATCTACTTATAAGAAAGCAATGAGTGTGCTCTCCTGGGCGTCTTAATCATACATTCTCAGTGTGACACCAGTGACGTGCCTTCAAAATCACATCGTAAATGCCTGGGATCTTAAGATGCGAGGACGGCGACGGCAGTCAAAAGGTCGCCTAGGAGCTTTGTCCAAGTTCAGAAAGAGAAAGGCAAATTATCAGATGCTAACTAATTTTCGTCCTTCATAAAACATGAAATTTTCACGTCGTAGTCGTGAAAAAATGGCAAAGAAATGTGCAAAAAAGGTAGGGTGCACGTGCAAAGATGTTATTTTGCTTATTAAACTTTTTTGCGTTTCTGACGTTCTCTCGTTGCCGTCGATGTCGTCGGATCTTGTGCAACTAGGACATTCTCAGACTTCAATGCTAACAGAGACGGTTTTTGTAATCTAGGAAGCTGAAAACAGGTGAAATAGCTGTATAAATTCGTTTCCAAAAGCACCAATGAGAGACGATGTTTTGAAACAGCAGAGCATGAAAATGAATTGTCGAGTTTTGGCAAATCATTCATTATATCCTAGCCACGAAAACATTATAAATATTGAATTCCAAACTTTGAAATTAAAGTAGAATTTCTCCACCATGCATGAATGTGTAAATTTCCTTTGGAAGTGCTAGTTTATTTTAGATGTAGCGGCTTCTGTGACTCCGCATGAATTTCATTTAAAAAGTGTCAGTACCCTTGGGTTTTTTTAGCACTGGGAGCTGAAAAGGTTCCTTTTATTCCTGCCAGCCCAGGCAATTTGGAAAAAAATGCTATTGTTTTTGTTTTTTATTTTGGCTTTACGATTGGCCAATAACCTAAATCTGCCAGCAACCATTAAGTGTTTCCCACCCAGTTACTTTTTAGGAATAACACCAAGCGCTTAGCCCCCGTGCCCTAGGATTAGAAGAGCACGCTCGGTTACCAAGACTTGAAGAATGCATATCGATTTCTCGTATTTCCAGGCTTTTGTACACGAAATATAGCTTCTACAGTTTTTTTTTTCCCCATAAAGATATGTAATGTTTTCATAAGTTTTTTTCACAAGGCTTGTTTTAAGATCTTGGTAAACTAAACATGCACGAGACTAATTCTCTCATCTTTTAAACACTCAGTGTTTTCGGTGTCGTGTAAGAATCTTTGGTTTGCCGCTGGTTATTTATTTTATTTATTTTTTTTACTGACTCATTTATCTAGCTTCTTGATTATTTATTTTAATACTTTCAACCATTTCCCTCTTCCATTTCTAGAATTCTTTTTTTTTCTCTTAGACGATAAAATATCAGCACCTGAAGTTTTCTGTAGCTGTTTGTTTATCCTACGCACACGTTTTGAGACAAAATTAGTGATGGTCAGCTTCTATGGTTACGAGATATGACGTCTAAGTAACAGGTGGTCAAGCCATTTTTGAGTGAAAAAGCATGTTTTTTGTTTTTTTTCAACTTTTTTCAACAATAAAAGCAAAACTTGTGGATGAAATAGTTTTCCATCGACCTCCCCTTGTACCACGTTAGGGGTATGACTTTGCGTGTACGTCCGAGGGTTAAGGCAAGACCCAAAGCCAAAGTTGCATAAAGGCAGCAAACAGTCATAACTTTAACAGAATTTACGTAAACATTATGAATCTTGGTAACAACATAAAACTTGACATCCTTAAGTTAGTGTTCTGTTTAAAAAAAGGAATTTTTGGATCACGTGACCTGTTATAACAGTTTTCTTACGCGAAGAGAAAAGTTAAAATGGGCCGCCGAGATGACGTGTAATGGGGATATGTTGAAACACCAACGTAATTGGACATCTGGTTTCTGCTTTTAAGAATCTGTTTAGAATGGATGACCACTATACCCTTTACCGTTAAAGAATAAAAATTAGTTCACGTGACCATTTTATTATTCCAATAACTTCTTACTGAAATGAGAGTTTTCTTCTTTCTGGGCAGTCGAATGCAATTCTATACAACAAGTCAGGGAATACTGTACGCTTCTTTGCCTGCCACAGTTAAACACCATTGGTCCAT